CGAATGACCATTTTAACCAAAACCGATAATTTTATTGGGTTAGAGTGACGATAACCCTTTTAACATTGGATATCTACTCATGGAAAATGAGACTCGAGAAAGACACACACAAAAAAAAATCATGAATATTAGAATTATCACTGATAGGAGAACACTTCCCTTCAGGATGGCTTTCATTTTGACTTAGATTTAAACCCTAGAAACAATGATACACACATAGTTCTAATTAAATCCAGAAAATCAATTATTTTTATGAATTCAGACAAACAAATGGTTAACCCGGAACACGATTTCGAAAGAGCATCACAATCGATTCTTGCAATAGGTATGGAATGGAGAAAACGGAAATCCTCACTCTTGACTCGATCAACAGATGTTCGTTGTGTGAGTTTCAAGATTTATAAAGAATAAAAGAATATCTCTAATGCATCTTGAAAGTTTGATCCTATCAACCACCATATGGGTTTGATTATGGGTTTTAAGGTGTTTAGTATTTTATTAAATATTTAAAAAATCCTTAAAAATAAAAAATAAAATGTATAATAGTCTTTTCAGTTTAGACAGAAACCAAAACCACAAGCAAACATGCTCAAAAGGACCACCAATCCAATTTTTTCATGGTTTGGACTTTTTCCTGGAAAAATACATACCACAAGACCATTTTTGCAGTTTTGTCTAATTTATACTTCACATGTTTGACCTTTTACCACCAAATTACAACTTTAATCAACTAGTTTTCATAAGAATGAGTTAAAACTGATGCATCTACATCAATATGGCCTTCATGGCTGCTCGTAACTTATAACTCATGAATGTATCAGTAGTAGATCATCATCATACAACATACATGATTCCTCATAAAATCATGTGTAAAATCAGTTGAATCACGATCAAAAATTGACATGATATTTAAGCAATAAGGGGTCCATAGTCAACACCCACAGCCTCTAAACACACAAGTAATTTTTTGGCAATGTAATTTACTGAACAAACATCTCTATATTCATGCCAGAATGTGAAGCTAAAAGAACTAAGATAGGAAATCACAATAATATTTGCATTTAAGGTAATTGTACATTACTCGAACCTGAATTAAGGTGTCAAGAAAAGATAACTAGAGGATTTGCTTGACTTTGGGTTGAAGAATTGGGGGATCAACATCAATGCCCATATTAGCAGCAGTTCCTGCTATGATTCTCATTGCTGATTCGATGGTTGTGCAGTTTAAATCTGGCAACTTTTCTGTTGCTATTCCTCTTAACTGCTCAACTGTAACTTTCCCCACTTTTTCCCTTTGTGGATCCTTAGAACCTTTATCCACTCCTGAAAAAAGATGCAGTGTACACATTTAAAACCACCAAAAATGGTTGCCTGTTAATCATGAAACTGACACAAAGATAACAAAACTAAATGATCTACAGATTTTGTATTACTAAAGAGGAAATTTTTGCCATGAATCATTTGTAGAAGTAGATTATCAATTTGATTTTGATTTTAATTGTAGATCCATACTGCATTACAGAATGTATTACGGCTTGATTCTGCAGATACATGATTAATCATGCCTACAGCTAATTAGTCGTCAAAAGTAACAAGCTAAAGAGGAATGGTGATTTTTGTAGGCGAATAAGGTGCCAAATCTAATGCTAATTTGAAAACATAATACCTGCAGCTTTAAGAAGCAGAACTGAAGCAGGAGGCGTCTTCAACACAAATGTAAAGCTTTTATCCTGTGAATTCAAACAATTGCACAAATAGACAATGCTTCTAATCAGAGAAAGCGAGATATTTACAAAAACCCTAAAGAGGATATTCAAATAAAGGAGATGAAAACTGACATCATAGACGGTGATTTCAACGGGGATAACGTAACCAGCTTTATCAGCAGTCCTGGCATTGTAATCCTTACAGAAAGCCATAATGTTAACTCCCTTAGAACCCAACGCCGGACCAACGGGTGGCGCCGGCGTGGCCTTCCCTGCTTCTAGCGCCAGCTTAATTACTCCAGTTACTGTACAAACACACAAAGGCGCACATTACATCAAAATTTGTACAATAAATGTGGTGTGATGAATATATACAAGTACCTTTCTTGGCTTTGCCACCAGGTTTAGGAGGAGCCATGGCGATGACTGTAAGAGGCCTGGGAGTTGCAGGACATAATTGCTTGTTATTGCAACGGAATTGCAGCGATATGTTTGAATTGGAAGATAAAGGGATTGAGGAAGGAGACGACAGGAAGGAAGATGAGAGATTGGAGGCGTGATTTTGCTTGGAAAGATGTGAAGAAACTGGGTAATAAGTGGATAGAGAAGACGCCATTTCCCTGAACTTGGAATGGAAAAATGGGGAAGAAGATTGGGAAGGGGATAGATAGATTGGAAGTGTCTGGGTACCTTATCTGGCGAATGTTGGCATGGGCTAAAAAGGACATTTGGCCCAAGTTCTTAAATAGCAACTACGAGCCCAAAGTTTTTAGTTGGTGTTGACTTGACGGACCAAAGAAAGAACTCTAATAATTGGGTGTCGACACCTTTTCGGGCCTACTGAACCGACCGGTTTAAACATTTGTAAAAAATTTGGAGGTGACAGCGTTGGCGCAGATCATGAAACCATGTTAAAAAAGTGGATTTTCGGACCGCTTTGAGCCCGATCCAATATATAGCCGTTTCTCGGGCATTGGAACCGTTTTTTTTTAACCATTTCTTTTACAATTTTCTCCTATCTTGATTGTGCAAAAATAAAAGTGGTTTTATTTAGTTGCAACAAACCTTGAAAAAACACTATAAGCTTCTATTCACTAGGGTTTTTGGTATTTATTTTTCGTGATTGCGACTTTCATATTAGTTTTATTTACTTTCATATTAGTATTATTTTCTCAATTTGTCAGGTAGATAATCTATATTTCAGTTTTTAGTTTTTGTATTTCTAAATTTTCAGAAAAAACTGACCCCAAATAAAAAATGATATTGTCTATTCTCAATATCAACCTTCACCTTGGGTGAGGTCCTCACAAACCAGTTAAGTTTATAAAATATTGACATGTGGGAACATTTTGAATTGTGTGAAATTTCGACTAACTGAAAAGAAATGTGTTGCAAAACATATAACTCGTTCTTCGAACCTCAATCAATTTTGAACGACATATTTGTGTTTTTTTTTCTCTTTTTCTTATATGAGGTGTTATCTATGAAATTAACTAATACTTATTACTTTCTCTTTACCCGATTATTATAGGATTATCGTATTGTTATTGTTATTGTTCGTGTCTATCATTAAAGCCAACATCGCCCCAAAAGCATCCAACTTTCCCTACCAAAAGAACACACTGTTGGATAACATGATCAAATCAACAATAGAAGCAAACACAACTATAAAACCAAAAGATCAAAAAAAAAACACCAAAGGGATAAACAAAGGAACCATGTAAGCAATAAAACAAGAACCATAAAAGTGTTAATAAGTATAATACCTTGATGCCTTAACCTAGTTGGTGTATGGTTAATATCTACAAGCGAGGAGGGACCAAACAACATTATATTATCATACTTGAAATATTATCATGTATTTTCTGCATCTCATAACGTAACTCGTCATGACTAAATCTTGAATCATCGTCTATTGGTGTTGGTATGTCATTACTTACCATATTATGTTTATTGCTCTTTTTATTAGACAATCTATCTTCTTTCTAATTTCGATAAAAAGGTGCGGAAGGAAAAGGAAACAACAGAGGGTCCGGATTAGACCTAAATGGGAATGACATGAAAAGTGTTTCAAAAACCTAACATCAAGGGCATTATGATGATATATTAGAGGAATGGAGAAAAACTCATGATTGATGTGGAGGGGAATGTTTGTTTATATTATAGTTCAAGAAGGAGTTGTCTCGTTTTCTTACTTCTTCGTTCTTTTTTTTTAATTCATTCACTTCGAGACCGGTTATGAACATTGCATAACATCATGTTCAACCAACTTCCATTGTACTAGTGGTACCACTAAAGAATTGATTATACACTAAACATGTACTTAATACGCTTACCAGAAGACTGGTTTTTATTCATATTCAATTCCTTAGGCCAATATGAAACTAAGAAATATAGATGTGCCTAAGGCGTAAACAACAACTAAACATCTTTGACTTGGTCAATCTTTAGCTATCGTATTTGTGCAATGTAGTTTGTTCTCCATTACGGTTGTTGGGTTTAAACTTGTTTATATTTATAGGGCTAAGTATTTAATTAGAATGATTAGAATGATTTTTAAACTTGTTTATACTTATAGGGCTGAGTATTTGATATTTCTTGTAAGACATTTTTATTGCTATTGGTAGCCATTATTCAGCCATTATTCTATATGAACAAAACAGATTGTCCTCCTTGAAGAATGATTTTTACAAACATACCCTTCTCCCTCCAAGTATTTTTGATGAAAAGTTTTTATAGGAAGTTTTTTTTATAAGATAATCCATCAAAAACAGTTCTCTTGCAAGAAATGGTTTTTGTCAACATAAAATGTTTATTTCGTAACCGATCTTTTATTTTTAGCTTCTTGTAGTTTTAATTTTATATGTTTATAGCATTTTGATAAATTTACTTAATTTAATAAATATTCAAAATATAACCACTGAAAAATATCATCAAGAAGATTAAAACGATACGTTGAACATAAACTTAAATTTTATAAATAACAAACAATACATTTGGTAAAAAAAAAAAAAAAAAAAAAAAAAAAAAAAAAAACTTCATACACTTTGCTTTAACAAATATTGGAAAGTAAGTTAAGTTTGTGAAGCCAAAAAACGTATGTATAGTTGGATTTTTTTTAATGATAATAAATCTTACACATATGACATAACTCATTATTTTTGTTCTTTTTTACAACTGGTCCCGAAAAAATATGTTTTATATTTTTAAGAAGATTTAGTTTTTTTAAAGAAAACAAAATTAGTCAAGTTTCCGTTTATTGTTTGAATGCTTTTTGGAGTTTGTTACACCAGCGCAAAATAGAAATCTCCGCAAACAAACACACAAAAGGCACTTCCTACCGTTTTCTATTCTCTTGTGTTTCCCATTCTCTTTGGTATATGCTCCGGGAATCTCGTCTTATCCCTCCCCCACCCTTTTGAGTTTTGCCCGTAACTAACCCTCTCCCCCAAAAACACACACAGTCACACCCCAAAACACAAAATCTATGGCGCCAGCTACAACAACTTCCTTACTCCACCACAACGGCATCTACTTCACATTCTCGGCGCGTGACTCCCACACTCTCTTCTTCAATCCGCACAAGGCTCTCCGTCCACCAAACAAACTTCCTCTCAGTTCACTATCGTCAGTACCATCGTCGCCGTTGGGCCGCCGTAGAACGCTTGTATCAACTGTACCGGTAGAGTATGTGCCTCCGGCTCCTGATTTTGAATTCAGTAAAGAACTAGCGCGCCTCCGTACTCTACGTTCCAAGATATCCGCTTGCAAAAATTTGCGAGATAAAATACGTGTGGTTGAATCTGATTCGAAGGTGAAGCGATATTTTAGGAGAGATCATTATAAAAACGGATTTGCTATGGTTTTAGAGTCGTTTAATTTGGATGAGTACGAGCTGTTTTTGCTCAAATGCATTGTCGCCGCGGGTCAAGAGCATGTTTTAGGGTCGGGTTATGACGCGGATTCGGATGTTGATGGTGAATTTGGGTCTGCGAGAGGTTCGTTGAAGGCCGCGCTTTATACTTTGGTGGAAATGATCGAAAAATGGGACGGAATTGATGATCGACAGATTAACGAGAAGAAGGTTGATAGTGAAGCATTGAGATCATTACTGAAAACTCTTCGAGATGTTGAAGAGTTCTATGATTGTATTGGTGGGATTATTGGGTTAGTGCTGCCTTTTTCTCCATATTTTTCATAACAGTTATTCTGTTTCATTTGAAAGTCGATGTTTCTCCATATTTTTCAGGGATCACTGTTCATCATGTTTTCTCACCTGACTGATTTTTATTTTTTCTGATTGTAGCATTAGTAACATAAGCCGGTGACAAAGCTCTAGGTAGTTTAGTTTTGGGTGAAACAAGACTTCTTTCTACATACAAACTTGACATCACCACATGTATCATCATCCTAATTTAACTCGATAAATATGAATTTGGAAGATACTTAGGAATCTGAAAGTCTGATTTTTGCAAACCGAACTTCTTTTTATGGACATCCCCAATTGTTATTAATATATTATGAGCTTGTAGAGCATATGTTCCATAAGTGGTGTTACTTTAAATGCTATCTTTTTATAGACAGGACTTTGTATCAATTCTCTCTGATATACACGTTTAAATAGTCTGAAATAAATATTGATGACCATATACTCGTCATCTGAATTTCTTGCAGATACCAGCTAATGGTTTTAGAGCTTCTTTCTGAGTCTGCACATGCAGAGAAGAATGTCAATTTTCAGCATATAAATAACTCTAACTCAATAGGATGCCAACTTTTAGAAATTCATCCTCCTAATGTACTTGATCTTTCTCAAGATACAGAATATGCGGCTCAAGCTGCTTTATGGGGAGTTGAGGTAAGATGAGACTTTGTGCTTTTTTTTTAATCTTTCATAGATACCAAGAAACATTATCAGGTGATTTAGGCATTTTAAACTGAATTTAGGGTTTGCCGCACCTGGCAGAGATTTATCCTCTTGGAGGCTCTGCTGACAGGCTTGGACTAGTGGACTCAGTCACAGGTGAATGTCTCCCTGCAGCAATGCTTCCTTATTGTGGTAGGACCTTATTGGAAGGCCTTATAAGAGATCTTCAGGTAGAATCTGTTTCTGTTTTTGTCTTCTTTTAAATGTGGGTTATACTATTTTTAGCATTAGTAACATCTGTTCAATAATTACAAGGCTAGGGAGTTCTTATATTACAAATTATATGGAGAGCAATGCATAACTCCTGTTGCAATTATGACAAGTTCAGCCAAGAACAACCATGAACATATCACATTGCTGTGTGAAAGATCCAAATGGTTCGGAAGGGGTCGATCAAGTTTCCAACTTTTTGAACAGGTCCTATAAGTAGATCATTTATCGATGTCATTTCTCATGCTTTTTAGGTTTATTTGTAAAAAAAGACGATAATTAGTTTGTTGTTAATTGTGGTTGCCAGCCACTTGTGCCAGCTGTTAGTGCTGAAGATGGCCAGTGGTTAGCAAAGGGACAGTTCTCACCTGTTTGTAAACCTGGTGGCCATGGTGTGATATGGAAGCTTGCTTATGACAATGGCATTTTTCAGTGGTTTCGTGATCATAAAAGAAAAGGTGCAACTGTCAGACAAGTCAGGTTTGTGTGATTTAGTTATCCAAATGTATAATTGTTTCTTAAATTTTGTATCCTGTTATGTTAACACATGCACTTTTGCAGCAATGTTGTAGCTGCTACAGATGTGACCCTGTTGGCATTGGCAGGGATTGGTCTGCATGAAGGGAAGGTGACATTTTTATCTGACCTTTACTTTACATAGTTGGTTGGTTCCTTAAAAAGCTGCTCAAGTAATTTTTATTTATAACTGGTAATTTTTCAGAAGCTTGGTTTTGCATCATGCAAACGCAACTTTGGTGCTACAGAAGGCATAAATGTGCTGGTTGAGAAAGGCAAGCCTGATGGAACATGGACATATGGTGTGTCATGTATTGAGTACACTGAGTTTGACAAATTTGGAATTGCTGATGGATCCCTTTCTTCCAATAGGTACTACATGAATGGATCCCTTGTATTAGTTATGATTGTTGTTATATTCTCTCTGATTAACCATGGTGATTTGTTAAGTTTGCAGACAGAGTTCCCAGCAAATACAAATATTCTTTATCTGGATTTGAATGCTGCAGAGCTTATTGGATCGAGTAAAGATGAGTCTAGTTTACCAGGAATGGTGCTGAATGTGAAGAAAACTATCAACTTCATAGACCACTTTGGAATCCAGCATGGGTATGTTTTCTGCTTACATAATCATTAATCTCTTTTAACCAATAACATCATGAAAATATTTAAATTCTTTTCTGTGAGCAGTGTTCCAGGTGGGCGTTTGGAATGCACAATGCAAAATATTGCTGATAATCTTACCAATAGTTTTCCCTCTCGATGCTTTGAAGGTGTAGAAGGTATAATGCAATTTGTTTTGTGTTTAGTAGCTGTTGGATTATGATCATGAATTTTACTCCTTTTTTGCAAGCCTCTTGTATTCAGTAATAATGCTATTCATGTAACTTAATTGCAGAAAAGCTAGATACCTTCATAGTCTATGATCACCGAAGGAAGGTCACATCATCTGCCAAGAAGAAAAGAAAGCCTGCTGACATGTCCTTGCACCAGGTCCATTTCTCTGTTGTCATTTACAAAGAATGTGAATGAGAATTCTGTTATTATGAGACATTGGATTCTTGTAATTATATAGTTTAAACTATGTGTTTGCAGACTCCAGATGGTGCACTACTTGACATAATAAGAAATGCATATGATCTTCTTTCATGCTGTGATATCAAGCTCCCTGAGGTATTATTATGAGAAACTTATGTGGTTTCCAGAGTGTGGAGAATGTTGACCAGATAATTTTTGTTGTGCAGATTGAAACTAATGATAAATATGCTAATTCTGGACCACCATATCTCATCCTTCTTCATCCTGCTCTAGGTCCTCTCTGGGAAGTCACTAGACAAAAGGTAAGCTTTGGTGAAAGAATTGGGGTTGGTTGCCTTTTATTATTTCTAATATTCTTTTTTTTATAGTTTCATGGTGGTTCAATTTCTAATGGTTCTGAATTACAAATTGAGGCTTCCGAATTCTTATGGAGAAACATTGAGGTCAAACATGTTTACCTATACCCTGTTCAGACATACAACTCATAACCATTTTTTTTCTCTTTAGTAAACTTGCTCTTTTGATCTCAGCTTGATGGGAGTTTGATAGTCGTGGCCGAAAATGTCATGGGATCTCATATTGACAAAAATCATGAGTCTATACTACAATATGGCTACAGGTAGTATACTTATACTATATGGCATATGCAATAAGTAAGAGAATATGAGACTTTGTGGTGAAATATGATATGCTTGTTCAGGTGTGCACGATGCAAGTTAGAGAATGTGAAAATATGGAATAAGGGAATAGACTGGAGTTCAGATAAAAATCTATATTGGAAGCACGATGTTGAGCGGTTTGAGTCACTAAAAGTCATATTGCATGGAAATGCTGAATTTGAAGCTGTTGATGTTAACATTGAGGTTAGACTTACATAATTGTAGTTATCCTTTTCTTCTCATCTATTCATATCTTCATGATCCAATTTCCCTCCCTTTTTGTCCTTGATGCAGGGAAATCATTTGTTTCAAGTCCCAGATGGCTACAAGATGAGGGTCACATCTGGAACTTCAGGTTCTCTTGAAAGCTTTAATAATTTAAGTCTGTGTGGGATCATCAATACCTTTCTTCTATATGTCCTACAACTTACACCTGTCTGTGTAAACATTTGGTTCAGGTTTATCCATACATTTAAATCCTATTAAAAAGGAATTTATGGATTGTGGAAGCTGGTTCTGGAAGTACATGCTAAATGACGGACATATTCAATTGGAACTGGTGGAGTTAGAGGAGGGATCATGAGATTGTTTACCTTTTGAGAATCATCGTTCACAGAAGAACCTCATTCATCCCTTTCACCTTTCACCTTTCACCTTTCACCTCTGTGTGTGGTTGGTTGAACACAAGTTAAACCCCCCCTTCCCTTCAACCCAGTTATCGTTGTAATATATATATATATATATATATATATATATATATATATATATATATATATATATATATATATATATATATATATATATGCTGTATGAGCCTAGTTTGACCAGTAGGGTCTCATCTCATGTATTATTCTTTTATCTTAATTGTAAATTATTTGTAAAAACTGATAAATGTATATCACATGAAATACAGTTATTCCAAGTTCCAAGGGTTATCATATCATATCATGTACACACGTAAGATTATTTGCAGGAGATGCTCTATGTTTAACTATGAATTAGGAAGGGCAAATAAAAACAAGGCGTGCATTCAAAACAGATAAAATAACAACTTCATTTATGCCATCTTCATGAATTTACATTTCCAATAATTCAAATCAAACAATCTCTGTATGTGTTTTTATTCAAAAGGATTCCTATACGACTGTGAGCAGCATCTGTTGAGCAATCTAAGCAAAGCATCGGCCTTTCTCTGAGCTTTCATGGATCCATCAGCAGCCAAGCTTTGAAGAGATGGTATACTCCTTGGATTCATCAACAATCTTCTAGCAACTTCATCATCGCCATCTTTACAAAGCCCCAATAACAGAGTAATGGAATTCTCCTTCCCTTTCGGAGATCCAAACCTTAAGAGATCAATCAAAATCGGAACCAAAACCTTACTCTTTCTTATTTCCTCACGTCCCTCACAACACCCCAACAGCAACGAAAGCACCGCAAGCGCGTCATCAGTGATTCCCGCCTTATCATCCATCAACAAATCAATCAAAACAGGTATTGCCCCTGAAACAACCACATTCACTTTATTTACACTGTAAACCGCAAGATTAATCAATGCAGTTGCTGCGTCTCTTTTCCCTGTTGTAGTTCCATCTTTCAACAACTCAATCAAATAAGGAATAGCTTTGGGACGACTCCCGATAACCACTTTATAATCATCAATTAGCGATAAGCTAAATATAGCCGCTGCTGCATTTTCTCTTGCCTCCATTGTTTTACCAGAACCCAATACGTCTACTATACTGTCTATCGCTCCTGCCGCCACTATCAACACCTTATTGTTTTCAAATATCGAAAGGTTTAGAAGTGTCGTGACTGCATGCTCTTGAATTCTCGGATCATGCGACGAAAGTAACGTTACCAGAAAAGGAATCGCTCCCGCCTCTGAAATTAACCTCCGGTTATCCATCCCGGTTTTAGCTAGCAATCTCAACTCATACGCCGCTTGCCTCTGGATATCAACCGAACCCATCGCTAGTTTTCCCACCAAAAATTCCGCTGTCATTTTAACCGCATCCATGGCGGATTTGGTGGCGGAAATATGATCAATCGCCTTTTCAGGTAGTTTCCGCTTCACACTAGGGTTTTTCTCAAAACTATGAGTCGATGAAGTTGCGGGAGCATTTTCATCCACGGGTAAGTTGTTTTCATCACAATATTGGTGAATCAAGCTTTTGAGCGCGTAGTTTGGAATGAGTGCCATGTGGATCAGCCGCTTCCCACTTTTGGGACACGTGTGGTGCCCAGAGTTAATCCACTGTGCAATTGAGACACGGTCGTATGTGTGGCCCGATGCTACAATTACCGGGTCCCGCATTAAATCGAGGGAAATCGGGCAACGGTATTCGTCTGGAATGTTGATCACCATCGATTGAGAAAACGAATAACGTCGACTCTGGGAATTTTTATCCTCCTCTTGAGTTATTGCATGGTCTTGTTTACTGAAAACGATCGATTTCGACAATGAAACAAGCGAAATTAGATTGTTAATGTTGGAAACCACAATGAGTCCACCGGTTCCCGCTTGCTTTTCCGCTTCCGCCTCGAGTTTTGAAATCTCCTCTTCGTAATCGAACGGCGTTTTCAAGCCGATTCGTGTCATAATCACTTCGAGTTTCTCAAAATCAATGACGGCTTTACTCCTGCTTTTACTTTTAGTACTAGCCGTCATCACTTGAAGAAGCTCCTCTCTTCTTTGAACCTCTTTAGAATCAATCATCAAGTCAACTCTTTTGACTTGCCTATGAAGAAGCTCCACTTGCTCTCTTGTGTCTGCGCCTATCTTCAACAAGCTGAGAGGTAAGATATCTAAAGCCCTACTCATTTCTTTTACAATCACATGAAACTGATTCGAAATGCTTTCTGCTCGAACAAGGTTCCATAAACAGCTACCTTGTTGACACGCTTGTATCAATGATTTCACCCTCCGAATAACAGAATAGAGCTCCGTCAAACACAAGATGGAAGAAGGTGGGAGTTGAGTGTTTGTTTCTTGAATCTCTTCGAACAGTGATGAAAGAAGTTTGATCCTTCTTATCATTGTTGAGACGTTGTTGGATTGTGTGATTGGGATTTTCTCCATGGTTGTTACTTCATTTGAGATTTGGATAAGTGATTCTAACAAAGAATCGGTTGGAAGAAAGCCTTGAGAAATCATGAGAGGAGGAGGCAGAGTTACATCCATGCTGGTTTTCTTTTCTTCTTGTGTGATTCATGATCAATGGTTAGATGGTTTTGGGTTACTTGAATACATATATCTAATTATAAATATTTGAATTGTTTAAAATAGTTTTGTCTTTTTCTGTTTGTAGTATTCATATAGATGACAAGAAGTTGAAGGCAGGAGGAAAAAACAGGAGTCCTGGGCTGCTGCCATCTGGAGCCTTTGCAGGCCTTTCTGGTAAGTCCTATAATAATCTTATTCCCTCCCAAGTTTTATATTCATAAGAGCCATGTCAAAGCTTTGATTTTTTGCTTTCTTTCACCCCCATATTAAGATATCTTATGCCACATTCAATGCATTAGGATTTGTACCCTATACATAAACTGTAGTACAAGCATACACTACAAAGAGATATAGGAACTTGATCTTTCTTTTGAGACCTAACTATTTTTGCTAGCATGAAGACGACATTTAAACTACTTGTTATGATAAAATCTTCAACAAAAGTAGGATATGGATGATGCCTGATGCAGTTCAGTATCACCTAATTATTAAGTTTCCATTTTTAGCAAGTGCATGAATATTATTATTCTATTACTAGTTTTATGGCAGGAAAAAAAAATAAGCTAGCTGTGTTGACTTGGTGAATTGGCAGTTTCTTTTTAGATTATTAGCTGTTGAAATCAACATCAGCAAATCTTTCGTCATATTCTCGAGATGTATTTTTATTGTAGCCTAATATTCTAACCTGGTTTCGTAAAAATTGTAACATTTAGGTTTACATAAATATGGTGAATTTTGTTTAATGACAGGAAAAAAAAAAGAGATTGTGTATGCTAATACTAATAAAAGCACCAATAATTTGTGAGGATGACAATGGGTAATTAAGTAGGAGGAGGTTGCTTTGTTGAAATTTTCCCAAAAGACTTGGTTTTATTGAGACCCTATAAAACAAGTGTTGAATAAACAGAGGAAAGGACAAAATAAGAGCCTGATATTGGGCTTGGTAAGACCGATTAGTTTGAACTAATTAGTTGTACACCATTTTATTTTAATTAATTTATGTAGAATTAGAATAGGATGAATGATGAGAGGTCGTTGTCATGTATGCATATTATATAGATGGTAAGAACAAGTCTTGTGAAATTATATTTTGGAACAAAAAGATGATAAGCCTTGACCTTGTCATACACATACATCTTCTCCTTTATCTTTTTATTTATATTTAATTTTTTGCTTATATTTATGTGTTTTATTTTAGTATCGTTCCCCGTGAACAGTATTTCTGCCGAGATTGTGTATACAAAAGGTTTGTTGGAGCTCCGGGGGAGCTGGATTGTCCTTTAGATGTCGAGATTGTAGATGATCGATCTGTCCGGGTAGCGAGGGTTTATTAGGGTTGTATTCTTCTGATGTTCAGCGAGCAGTATCCGATTGATTTGGTTCTCATTCATTTGCGTGAGAACAAGGTTATTGTGGGTATAGAGTGGCTGAGCCCCAATGGGGTGGTGATCGATTGTGAGCAACAGTTAATTCGGATTCGAACCCCAAGTGGGAGAGAGTTAGTGGTTCGGGGAGAGAGAGCTCAACGTGGGTCGATCTTGTGTTCAACAGCGAGAGTCAGACGCTATATTCAACAGGGTTGTTTCGGATTTGTAGCCTATGTTATGGATACCCGAGATAAGGGTAAAGCGACTGACTGACTGTGGATGATATGTCGATTATGCGGGAGTATCCGGATGTATTTTGATATGTGCGTATTTAGTCATATAAATCATGCATTATCTTAATATTTTATGTTGAATTTGTTTCAATTATTGAACAAAAGGTACTTAATTTGTTGAAAATTTATTTTGCAGCAGCCAAGACATGCTCAGAAGGAAAAGAAAGCGAAATTGGTGAATGGAAGCTAGGATCTTGGACTTTCAAGAATGAAGAAGAAACTTAAGAAGAACACAACGTGTTTACATCGAACACGACGTGGAGTATTGAAGATTCGTGATGGGATATTGTCTTGCCGGATACGCGTTTTTAATGAAGAACACGGCGTGTTGGTCCTTAACCACGCCGTGTTTCGCCGTTTTTCATAACTTATGCTGGAAGTTTTTATCGACTTTTGGAGGTCAGAGACATCCCTTAGGAGATGTGGAGTGCAAAATTTGATTCTAAGCTTGTTTTTGAAGAGTTCTAAGAGCATCTCCAACCCACTCTCATTTTCTATTATTTCATCTATTTCTTCCCCATTCCTCTTCAACCCTACCCCATTTGGAAATGAATAGTATAACACCAAAATATGGTGTTATACTATTCATTTCCTCCAACATGGGGATGAACTTTGAGTTGTCGATTTTAGTCCCTCTTTTTATATATTTATACATTTCTAGTTTATTTTATCTACTAATAATAATTTAAATGTAATATTTAATACTTAGAATATTATGTTATGTATTAAATTATATTAATTAAATATAAATATAAAGTTTGTTTTTTGTTTATCAAATTCATATAAAAACTTAAATACATATTTAAATTTTAAAACATGATAACGTATTTTACAAAAGCTTATAATTAAGTATTATAAATATAATCTTATTTTGTAACATCCCGAGATTTTGCAGCTATTTCTGAACCCTTTTCTATCATTACTTTATCATTTATAGCCCTTGGGGGTGGGAAGTGAAGGGCCAAGATAAGTTTAAGGGCCAAAGTTGCAACTTAGGGCCAAGAAGGAGTACGCTAAGCGTACTAAGGTCCGCCTTAGTACGCTGGGCGTACACTTGTGTACGCCTGGCATACTAATGTCAGGAGAAAACCTAATATTTAGGGTTTGGGGGTTATATAAGCAACATTATGAGCACCTAACCTTCCCTTACCGCAGCCTCCACTGCTTAGAGTCGTTTTCCCCAAACCCTAGCCTTTCCTTTGTGTGTTTGAGCTTATTGAGTGTTCCTTGAGTGCTTGAAGAAGAAGGTATTGCATCAAAGAGTTGGAGAAGAAGATTAAGCTTGTAGATCTGAAGTTAGCTTGTGCCTTATGAGCTCTAGGAGGTAAAAAGCTCCAAACTTTATGCATATATGTATAGATCTTGCCATTTTGCTTAAAAGAACCATTTCTTGTCCCAAAAAAGCCATAATATCATGCATGATGTGATTTGGACGAAAAGGGTTGTCCTTCTAGACTCTTGAAGGGATTTTGAGTGATAAAAATGAGGTCTCATTAGCTGAATGTGTCCCATGCATGGAATAAGGTCTTAATGGATTAAGACCAAGTATTAAGAGCTTTCTGGACGTCCAAAGTGATAAAGTTCATGACTTTATGGGTCCTAGGCATGTTAGGTCACTGGATCTGAAGTTTGGGCTTAAGTGCTTAAGCCATTAAGCACTTAATAAGATTTTGGCAACTGTCGAGTACGCCTAGCGTAAATTCAGTACGCCCAGCGTATTGGGTCAACCACCCCGATGGTGGTCAACATCTGGACGAGTACGCCCCGTGTACCAGAGGAGTACGCCTCACGTACGTCCTCTGTTGGGCCTTTGACAAATGGGCTTCGGGTTTTGGGTTGTTTATGGACTAATTGGATTTGGGCCTTTGTTGGACTTTATGAATAAGATATTTTGGGCCAAGTTGGGATAATGGATCATGGGATTAGGCCCAATTAGGAAGTTGGGCCCAATTTAGTAAATTGGGCCAATAATGGACTTTATATAAGGACTTTCAAGTTAAGGACTTGGTATTGGGCCTTGGCCCAATAAAGATAATGGACTTAATGAGTTGTGTGGACACTTAGTCAAGAAGGTTATTTTGGGTATTAACTAAGTATTTATTATGTAATAGTTCGGGATTCCCAGCGAGACAGCAATAAGAGATTTACGGTACTTCGGCACTACTTACGAGGTGATTTACCTCACTATACTAAGGGGTCTAAGGCACCAAGGCCGGACCATTGGATTTGATATCCTTGCAGTTAATAGTATGTTGAGTATGAGTTAGGGTTGCATGCTAGTTGCTATGCCAGTTAGGTAGATTTATAGGACTACCTGTGTTGTTATGTGGTTATCTGTATGCGCATTAGTTGGGTTATATGTTGACATGTTATGTGGGATGGGTTGAGGTGATGCTGCTTGTGTGGTAACCAACAAAACGGGGAGCATTCCAGATACGAGCTGAGGGAGACTCGTACCGTAGGCTCGGTGGCAATCCAGATGTGAGATGTGGGTCCGGAAGGCAATCCAGACTCACACTGTAGTCCCAGGGGTAATTCAGTGTGTGTGGAGCATTCCAGATACGAGCTGAGGGACACTCGTATTGTGGGCTCGGTGGCAAACCAGATGTGAGCTGTGGGCCCGATAGGTAATACAGACTCACACTGTGGGCCCAAGGGTAATACAGTCTGTAAAGCTATGGACCCAGTGCATGCTGTTATTAGTATATGTGTTATGTGCAGTGTATCGGTATGTTGGGGAACTCACTAAGTCTCGGGCTTACAGTTTTAGTTTATTGTTTCAGGTACATCAGGAGATCGCGGCAAGGCGAATGCATGATCGTACAGCTCTTCATGTTTTGTTTATATTTCTGGGAAAACTCTGATATGATACATTTTGAAAACAAGTTTGTAATGACTTAATGAGATTGAAATGTTTTTTTAAGTTCAAATTTGGCATGATTTTTATGGGTGTTACAAGTTGGTATCTGAGCCTTGGTTTGAGTGAATTGGAGGAACACTTGTGTGAATCCAGTCTCAAACCAAGGAAAAGATTTTCAAAATGATTTTCAAAAAGGTTTTCAAAATATCAAGGGAGGATGTTGGGTGTACGACCAGCCGGAGCTAATAAGTAGGGCCCAAAATACCATACATTTATTTGATATTATGATACGTTAGAACAGCATGTTAGTACTAGGCTAGGGATCTTCAGGAATTGCATGATAGAATTGTCTGATTACATGATGTCTGCTAGCCTAGGGTTTCCTTTATGTGAAATTGACATCATTACTGTAGTTGCTTAGTGTATGCATCACAGTTA